TCCAACTATACAGAAAAACTGGTAAAAAGTTAAAAATTCATTAAAAATCTATGTTTTTGTACAGAAATCTCAAAATATTCCTAGCTTGCCTCTGTGATGTGAGAATTCTTCTTATATTTTTGTTGGGGTCATAAATGTAAAACTGTACTTACAATAAAATAATATTTGAATTAGTGGCTGTAGAAAAAAATATGTCCTATAATTAAACACTAGGGGGAGCTCAAATCAAGACGACATTTTTTTTATTTCATAAACCACCTAAGAGTGAACTTTGTGACAAATTACCAGAAGATTATGAGAACAGAATTTGCGCTACAATTGCTAGCCTAAAAATGTATTTTTGTAAATATAAAGCGCAAACCTCTTTGTGGAGCTGCGGCTTTCGTGACATAAGCTCTAGCCTATCCAGTTAACAAAATCTGGAAATCTTAGCCTCTTACATGCAAATAGTGATTTTTAGGAAATTTTTCAAATTTGAAATTTTAAATGATCATAAACCACGCCCACTTTGATCAATCATTACCATATTGATAATGTAGTCTTAAGCCTCTATAGTGATGACAACCACTAAGTTTCGTGCAGATCCATTTAGCCGGTTAAGCAGTATAATTGCTTCCCAGTTATAGCGCCCCCTATTGTTTAATCAAGTTGAAAACCAGGACATACACTTGAATTGACCTTAGGTATGGCTGTTATGAACAGCTTTGAAAAATGTCAAAATCTTTTGAAGTTATGCTAAAAAAACTTTTTCATTCCCAAAAAATTATTTAAAAAAATCATATTAAAAAAAATAAGCAAATTATCCAAAATCCCTTCACATCTTTTGGTCAGCCGCTCCTCCTCTCTTGTCAGGGAAAGTTGTGATGTGATTGAGTTTGACGGCCGGGAGGAGTTAACGAAAGTACGCTGGACTTACTATGCAAATTTCTACTAATTTGCATAAGTTTAAAACATTTTTTAAAATACTCATCTAAATTTGACTGACTCAATGAACACACTGGATGAGATCATTTGTTTTTTTACAAAAGAAATGGGGAGAAACATGCCAAAAATATTTTTGGGGTACCACAGCGCCACCTATTGGACAAAATTCAAAAAATTTTCTGTGATTGTAGATGTCACTATGACTGATATGAATTGTAATTTTCTGTATAGAATATGTATTTTTCATGAGTAAAAGGGCGAAAATTTTTAAAGCCTATAAGCCACGCCCACTTTTTAATCATTTTCAAAATATAGCTTAAGGGTCCGATGATTAACATATCTGCCAAGTTCTGTGGAAATCCATCAAGCCGTTTAGCTGGAACAAGCTTTTTGACTCTTTAGCGCCCCCTATTGGTGAATCCAAACAAAATGGGGTAGATAGGGCTTACCGCTCATCCTTCATAAGGGTCTAGAGTCTCATCAATTTATCTTGAGAAATGGTGAAGATATCATCAATTACCACATGTGCTAGCTAGCGCACTGATTTTGACATGGTGTCATTAGCCCAATTTTCAATATTTCTGCATTTTTCTTCATCACAACAACTTACCTTAGTCCACAGATCATATGTACGAAGGTTGAAGTTGATTCGACGAAAAATGTCGAATAGGTGATTAAAACTAAGTTTTGCATTTTTTGCGATATAGCAAAAAATCTAGTTAGGCGGAAATGGGCGTGGCCAATACAAAAAAGATGGAGAATCAATCAAGGATCATGTACATATAAAGTTTTTGACTGTAGGACCTACGGTTTGGGAGCTAGTAGCTCAAACGTGTTGACCTCCGCAATAGCGCCACCTAGGTGACACGGCGTCCAAATTCTCGAACCTGAGTAGCGGTCAGGATTTTCTATCAGACTGCCATGTCAGATTTTCCCTGGCAATTTCAGGCTCTTGCGCCCATACAGACACAGCGGAGAAGAATAATAATAATAAATAATAAATAATAAATAATGAAAAATCCGTAGAAAAACAATAGGGTTCCCTGCCCTTTGGGCTTGGAACCCTAATAAATAATAAATAATAATGAAAAATCCGTAGAAAAACAATAGGGTTCCCTGCCCTTTGGGCTTGGAACCCTAATAATGAAAAATCCGTAGAAAAACAATAGGGTTCCCTGCCCTTTGGGCTTGGAACCCTAATAATAAATAATAAATAATGAAAAATCCGTAGAAAAACAATAGGGTTCCCTGCCCTTTGGGCTTGGAACCCTAATAATGAAAAATCCGTAGAAAAACAATAGGGTTCCCTGCCCTTTGGGCTTGGAACCCTAATAATAAATAATAAATAATGAAAAATCCGTAGAAAAACAATAGGGTTCCCTGCCCTTTGGGCTTGGAACCCTAATAATGAAAAATCCGTAGAAAAACAATAGGATTCCCTGCCCTTTGGGCTTGGAACCCTAATAATGAAAAATCCGTAGAAAAACAATAGGGTTCCCTGCCCTTTGGGCTTGGAACCCTAACAAAAGGGTCCTATACCGGCAAGCATTACGCCAACCCGATGTTAAAATTGGACCTCACACAACATGTGAAAAACACCGATCCCAAAGAACTGGCAATTACTAGTTTCCATCAGCAGGGGCCAGAGTCGTGCAGCACAGTGTGCATAAAACAATAAAACAAACCAAAACAAAACTAAACAAACTGACAAAAAAGCCATAATCAGTGTAAAGAAAATTGAAAATAAACACAAAAAGTGATTTATATCACCTAGGAGTAACAGGACAAATTGTAGTAAAAAAGCTGTTGCAGAAGATTGTAATCTATCAAAATCAAAAAGAATCAACCCATCTGGGGAAAAGGGTGAGCTTGTCCGCATCCCCAAGCTCATATTACAAAATAATAATGTCATAGACTCTGTGTTTGCTCTCCTTATGCCAGAAATATTCACCTATATTCTCATCACCAGAGCTAAATTGGGGAACATGTCCAAGACCAAGTGACTAATTTGATCTCTTTGCTTCCAACTCTGGAGTTAACGAACAACAAAACCAGTCCTATTTATAAAAATAATATTTCAACTTCACATAGATTCAGTAAGGTAAGGTTGCTTCAGAGCACATCAACAATGTACAATTTCACTCAATAATGTCACGCAAATAATGTGTAAAATTTGAAAACAGGAGATGAATACTGCTAAATTAAAACTGTGAGTTAAATTGGACAACAGATTTATCTAAGGAAAATAAAACTCATTTGTCACATAGAGACAGTGAACATTCAAAAAAACTGATGGTGTTCGTAGACACACAACCCTAAAGGTGTTTGAAAGAAGATAATCATTTTAGGAAGGGACAAGATGTTCTAAACAAAAGAAATAATTCATAATTTATAAAAGTGTACTTTGTCTAAAATGGTTATACCACAGGAAACAAAGAAATGCATGAGGAGTAGCCCTAAATAGCTTAAGGTCAAGCAGAGGAATATAACTAAGTGTGATTATGAACAACTAAAGTGTTTATACTCAGAAAACAGAAAGAAATAAACAAAATAAACACAATAAAAGACTGACAAACGTAGAAACTACTAGATGCATATGTAATCAGGTCATTCTCAAAGTAATGTGACCATCAAGGAATATTTTTAGATCATCATGCTACTGGTCACGTCTAAGGGTCATGTAGGACAAGTGTCACCTTGTAATGCTCGTCTAGCAATATTAAAAACAAAACAATATCCAAGGTGCAAGAACTGCTCTCTTAGTGTAGAATACAGAAGGAGATAAGAAGTGGGAGCTGATAGTGGAGGCAGAATAAAACTGAGAAACTGTTAATTAACCAACTAGGAAGGAGTTCAATATTAATTACATAAACAGTTTATTCAGATCAGAAATAGACTGGCCAACACAAGGTAGAGCTATTTTACATAACCTTTATACTCATCAAACTTTTAAAAAACTAAATTCTTTAACCACACCGTTAATGCAACATCTTCACATAGAAGTAACTTATTATAAATTAGACGTTACTAAAATCATGAACATAAAATCAAAGGTTAGGATAACTTTTATCATAGATGGGGAGATTTGTGTATAAGGTTCATTTGCTAGAAAGGTTTCAAGGCTATAAACGGACTTGACCCATGGCTCGAGTAGTAGTCTTGGCCTTTAAGATGTCTAATGCCATATGATAACAGCATAATGGAAAAGAAATAAACCATGGTAACCTAGAAATCCATCTATCTGCAATAGATAATGTTTTTGCTCGTTCATGCCACCTTGCGCTGTATAACATACGAAAGATCAGACCATACCTAACACATGCCACCCAGTTCCTGGTGCAATCTACTCTCATCTCCCGCCTCGATTACTGCAATGCCCTTCCAACTGGTCTTCCAGCCTGTACTGTGAGACCTCTTCAAATGGTCCAGAACGCAGCGGCGCGTCTGGTCTTCAATCAGCCAAAAAGAGCACACGTCACCCCTCTGTTCATTGAGCTCCACTGGCTACCGCTAGCAGCACGCATCAGATTCAAATTGCTAACACTAGCATACAAAGTCCGAGACGGTACGGCTCCCATCTACCTGAATCATCTTGCAAAGGTTAACGTCTGCGCCCGGCCGCTTCGGTCATCACAGGATCATAGGCTAGCAGTGCCTACACCACGCTCAGGACAATCCAGACTCTTCTCATGCATCGTTCCACAATTGTGGAATGACCTACGAAGCACTAGCAGAACAGCGGCTTCCTTTTCAATTTTCTAGAAACTCATGAAGACCCTGCTCTTCAGAGAGCATCTTCTAAACTAGCACCCTCCCTGCACCCGTCCCCCCCTCTACCGTCCACTCCTTTGTTCCCTCCTCTCCATGATTGATGTCAAGTTGTTGTTGTTATTGTTGTTGTTAGCCTCAAGGGCAACATGCCGATTATCACTTGTAAGTCGCTTTGGACAAAAGCGTCTGCTAAATACATAAACATAAACATATATGCGTGTCATTACCAGAGACTCTAAGGTGACGGGCAGGGCAGGCAAGTGCTGGGGGTCCCCTAAACCAAAATGCCCAACAAACTTTTGATCCAGTCTAAACTGCAACAGTGGTAAGACAGTGAAAAGCTGTGAACTTGATCACTCTGTTTTCCGCCTCAAACTCCTCCCACTCAGACCAATCTGCATCAATGCTCCCACTCCCTACTGATTGCTCAACCAGCACCGCTGCTTATGACTTCGCCTCTCTAGAACAGTTGAGCGATCACAACTGTAAGGTTTCACAAGGGCTTTCATTTCATTCCTCGTGCCACGATGTCGTCTTTTGAAAAGACTTACCTGCAGTATCAAGGAATTCCACTTCCCAGAGCAATCTATTCTGATGATTTTAAGTTTGTGGAAGAATTCAAGTTTAGAGACGACGACGTTCTGGCTGTCACCTACCCAAAGTCAGGTCAGTTTTATTGGTTGCCTCTTTGTAAAAGTTAATATAGACATGTTACAACTTTGGGATCATAACTAAGAACACTGAAAAGTGCCAGGTTCTGAACAAGGAACTGAAGTAGGTGCTGAAGGCAGACAGTTCACCGGTTTATGAGTCGGCTAGAACTGTAGTTCAAGGTTAGCTAGAATACATTGAAAGTAAAAGAAAGATTTTCAGAGAAAAATCCACAGACAGCATATGTTAAAGGTGACAGAGCTCATTACAGTTTTGTGTTGTAGATAGTTTGTGAGGAGTTAGTCAGTCAGATTCACCAGCCATGTTTTTCATTGTCTGCTGTTACGAGAAAATAAGAGATTACATCTTCAGTAGCATAAAAGAACCACTGTGTCATGTTGGGTGGGAGTTTCTTGACCCACGACATGCAGAATCATCACAAAGAAACCGGCAAGTAAGTAAAACGTCTTTATTATTCAATGAGGAACGGGAACAGAAGACGTGCAGGCTGGCAGCAAGATTCCAGGAGAGGATTCTGAGGAGGGAGACAGCGTCAGTATATGGAGGGAATGACAGAGGATAATCTTAGGAATGGAGCTTACTGATTGCAGATAGTGGTGAGCGCCTCAGGGAGGGCTAGGTCAGGTCCGGGTGAGCAGGAAGGCTCCAGAAGGAGAAGGAACTGTTGAACCAGAGAGGAGGTAGGAGCGGAGGCTTGGTGAGGGCAGGTGAGCGGCTGAGAGCGGGCGGCCAGGGGAGGAGACAGCGTGATCTGGGTTGCAGGAATCCAAGCTGGTATGGAGATAGTGGAGTGTGGAGTGAAACCTGGAGCAGAGCAGGGAAGAGTAGTCAGGGTCTTTTCTGGCAATAGGAAATTCAGCAAATTCAGCAAATATTTAGAAGATCAGGTAAACAAACTGGAACTAGAAAAAATACAGGATCAATACAGGTCAAAGGCTAGAGCTACCCAAAACAGTAATCATACGGCGAAGTGAAGTGTCACACTGCTCCTTAAATCCCCTGGACCGTGATGACAGGATTAGCTGCAGCTGGTGGCTCTCAGACACGTCCACCTGAAACAATGCTCAGAGAAAAACAGGTTACACGCAGGAGACTCACCACGGACCGTGACACACTGAAACCTTTTCGTTGCAGTGGTTATTTTACATCACGTTCCTAGTGTTAATTAAGGCCTGGCTGTAGATGTGTTTCATGACTGCTTGTAACTGAATTGTCATTTTTGCACAGGAACTAAAAACTTTCCAGCAGGATGACTTTTGTTCTCTGCTAACTAGTTGCATGTGGAACTGTGTGAAGGTGGTGTAGATCAGTGGTGTCCAGTCCTGGTCCTGGTTATAGTTTATTCAGTCTCCAACACATTGTTACCTGTTCAGCCAACTGATTCAATTTAAGACTGTGTAGTCAGTTGCTTACCAAATCAAATCAATGAATGACAAAGTTACTGGTATGACCACACGGCTGCAGATGTCATTGAATTATTTCAGTAACTGGGGTAAAATACAAAGGTCGCCCTTATTTTTAATAGCCAGAAGCTTTATAATGTCTGTAGACCCAATCGTGGATCCATTGGTTCCAATATTAAGCTTCTCTGACATCTGTATGCCTCTCTCGCTGAGCAATTACCCATTACAGCTCCTAGTAACAAAGGACCCCAGGTTGGAGGTGCTCTCTAATGCATACTTGAAAAATTCTCTGAGCATTTGTCGGAGTTACAGACTCTTTTAGGTTTTCATTCAGGCGATCCTACCGATCCCTTGGCAACCTCCAGATCATGCCCTCTGCTTCTTGCTCTACAGACTCATCTGTGTGTGTGCACCAGATTTACAGGAACACTTCTTCTGGGTGCTTACCTCTGTTAATGAGTGCAATCATTTATCTCAAGAACACGAAGAACAACTAGATCTCACATCAGAGGAGGTTATTAAATATTTCAGTGGGTTTAATTTGTTTTCCAACTTTGACACTTCGGGTAAATATTTGATTTTATGAGAGCGAGGGACCAGCTAAGACTTGTAAACTGGGGTAGAACAGGTGTTACTGAGGACTATGACTCCATCTAGCCTAGACCTTTACTGAACCCTAAAGCGTTTTTAACCAGTGGAATGAAGTTTTGAAATAGTTAATAAACATCTTTATGTATTGGTGAGCCAAGATGGCGGGAGTGCAGGCTGGTGGCTCTTCAGCTCCAGCAGGCTTGAGAGCTTTTGGTGGACCCAGAGCTAAACCAGTGATTTATAACACTTCTGATGGCAAGACTCTTGTTGAAGATGAGTTTTTAAATTTTCTTGTTGTTAAGATGAAAACGTTATGCCATGGTGACATCATTTTGCTTGCTGTGAAACACTTTGGTTCGGAGTGGATTGAGGCCTCAAAGAAGGTCCTCCATGATTTATGCCCGAGCCCAACGCTGCGTCTAGTAACGCACAAAGGCCCTCAAAAGGACATTAACAACGTGAAGAGCTGCTTGAAGCTTCTTAATGAGGCCGGCGAAAACATCCACCGCTTTGTGTCGCATCATCTGGACGAGCTTCCCACAATTACTTTTAGCAGTATGGATGTCTCCTGCCTGCTTGGTAAAATTGAGAAGCTAAGCACTGATGTTTCTCTGTTGACGCAAGCGATGTCTACCCAGACGAGTGTCTGCGAAAATCTCCGTGTGGTGACAGCTAACATGAGTGATCGCCTGGGCGCGGTAGAGCAACTTGGTGTGAACGGCGGAGGCAACCCGCCTTGTTCCGATCAGCTGGTGACGTGTCAAAGGATGGAGAAGACGGCGCGGCAGATCGGAGCTACTGCTGAGGTGCAAACGGCTTCATCACCTGCTTCGGGCGGTGGGGCTGGTGCCCGAACGGTGAGGAGGGATCTGGTGGAATCAAATAATGTGGGGGGTTTGGATCCGAGTAACGCTTCACCTGCCTGGAGTCAAGTTGTTAAAGAAGGACGCCGTCCAAAGCGGGCTCCAGATGACGGCCCTGCGCAACTAAGGCCTAAACGGAATTTCGCTAAGAGGCATGTTGTCGTGGGATCCTGTGCCGGAGGAAGGATCAAAGTTTTAAAAACGAAACTGGTGAGTGTCTTCGCAACGAAGTTCTGCCCTGATCTTATGCCGAGTGTGCTGGCTGACTATCTTAAAGAAAAACTACATCGTGAGGTGCGGTGTGAAAAGATTAACAACAACCAGAGTCGATGTAGTTCCTTTAAAGTTTCGGCAGAATGTGAGGAGGTATCTGAACTGTATGATCCTCAACTGTGGCCTGAAGGAACCTTCGTGAGGCGTTTCTATGAGAAGCGCAGAGCTGTGGCTGCAGATGGAGCTGCGGGTGGGCCCAGTGGGGAGCCACTTACTCAGGGAGCATCCAGTAAAGCATGAGAATTGTGTCATATAACTCCCGTGGCCTGCGCCTTGGTAACGGGGCTGGGGATAGGGCACGTCGTATTGTTGTCGATAAACTTTTGGAAGATGTTGACATTTTATGTCTGCAAGAGACAATGCTGCCCAAACAGAACCTGGATCGGTTAAACTCCTTTCACTGCAATTTTTTTGGTGCTGGGGAGTCCACTACTGATCTGTCATCTGGAATTATTCAAGGAAGGATACCTGGAGGCGTGGCCATCCTATGGCACAAGGATTATGATCCTTTTATTTCTGTTGTCAGGCTAAATGTGGACTGGTGCATAGCAGTAAAAATTGTTATGGATGACAAGGTATTCATGATCTTAAATATTTATATGCCATATGAGAGTCAGCAGAATGAAGATGAATATCTGGCGAAACTTGGTTTTTTAAGCTCATTTATCAGTCAGTGTGAGTTTAATTGTGTTTTTATTGTTGGTGATATGAATGCTGATATTTCAGACACTCGCTCCACCTTTGGGCAACATCTGATTCAGTTTTGTGTAAATGATAACTTGGTTTTAACTAGCAAAGAGAGACTGCCAGCAGACAGCCACACGTATGTCAGTGAGGCATGGCACTCAACTTCCTGGCTTGATCACTGTATATGCACTGAGGATGCACATGAATGCATATCCAGGGTGGAAATCTTATACTCCCTGGCAACAACTGATCACATCCCTGTTTCCTTAGTGGTAAACTGTGAATCTTTGCCTGTGCTGCTCCAACACCAGAGCCCCTCACACACAGAGAAGCTTACTTGGACTAAAGTGTCAGTCGAGGATATTAGGAAATATTACCTACTGTCAGACTGTAGTCTGAGATCTGTTAATGTCCACAAAGAAACGTTACAGTGTAAAGATGTTAACTGTGAACATATGGAGCACAGGCTGCACTTATGCACTTTGTATCAAAATATTGTGGACAGCTTGATTATTGCCAGCGAGTTCCTCTGCCAGCAAGGATCAACAAAATTTAAACCGCTTCCAGGATGGAGTGAGCATGCTTATGCGTTACATGCTGAGTCCAGAGCAGCCTATAAAGCCTGGGCAGCTGCTGGTAAACCAAAATCAGGTTCAATATTGGAGTCTAAGAAAGCCGCGAACGTTAAGTTCAAGAATGCTGTTCGCTATATTAAAAGAAATGAGCAAACAATGCGGGCGAACTCCTTAGCGAACAAACTAAAGAATAATGAAGTTTCGGAGTTCTGGAAGGAGTTAAAACGCTCCTGTATCAGTAAGCAGCTGCTACCTGCATCTATAAATGGGGTATCAGGAAACAAGAACATTGTTGAAGCCTGGAGGAATCACTTTAGCAGAATTTTTAACTGTGTAAATAGTGAAAGGTTCAATCTTGGCAACATTAACTACAATCATGGTATGATTGTCAGAGCTGATGAAGTCCGTCTCGCTATAGAGAAAATGTCGTTAAACAAAGCTTGCGGCCCTAAACAACTATCAGCAGAGCACATGAAGTACGCTAGCTGTAGAGCTCAGGTCTTACTTTCATTGTGATTTACCGGCTTTTTGAAGCATGGAATCTTGCCTGACCATATGTTATCTGTTCTCTTAGTCCCTATAGTCAAAGAGAAAACTGGAAA